ATGTCCTGTGTTTGCTTATGTTTACTATCTATGATCACTGTGCTTGATTGGTTAAACTTGTGTGTGGGCTCAGAAAAGTAAACATTGTAGAAAGACTGGAAGCCTGAGCTAGGAGCATAGAGTAGATACAGAACCAATTTGATCTGGTCTAGTGGATGAAAACTACTTGCTACTCTAACAAGGTGAAGCTCTTCAACAAGATGTACTTAGTTGCAAACTTGCAATTTTGCAATAAACTACAAGTTACACGTATGATTGGCATTGTTACAGTGACTATAAGGGGGACCTGAAAAATAGGTCTCGCTTCTTTGAGATCCTAAGCTGATCCCCCACTGGGTGCATATGACACAGTTATAATGGATGGTTATTTAGGCAATCCTCAATATTAACACTTTCAAACCATGATTTAACAGGATTGAGAAAGATGATTTACCAGATTGCAACAGATTATGCAAATAGCCAATCAAATATTTTTTCAACAGCATGAATACGCGAGTGGAATAGCCATTATAACTGAAGTGGTACTGAGGAAATGCCCAAAAGGTAAGACAAAAATAGTACCAAAGAAACACTGCATACAGAATTTCCTAATGATGTTTAGCAAATCACTTTCTCAGAGTACATTAATTATTGTTAGCATGACTGCTTCTCAAATGTGGAGCGTAAAGCCCATTTTTAAAGAAAAATTGGCAGTTGTCTATTTGAACAAATAATTATCTCATTTATGAAGTTATAGAGTTTTGTAGCTTTTGAAAAATGAGTTCGAATAGGGTAATATTGTTCTGTTGTCTCTGTAATTATGGGGAAAGTTCCATTCCTCCATTTTAGTTGAGAGACTCCACACTTCTAAGACACTGCAATAGAAATAATGTGCAATTAAGGAACAAATGTCAGGCAAACACAGAAAATTGTAATGAAGCACTTCATTGTTTAAATGGAGGTTTAAAGCTGAAATCTAACCTATGTGTTGATACATATATAAACGGCCTAGGATTTAATTTTCTCAGGTTACAGTGACATTTAAACTCTAGTGTTTCAAGGTTAAACACAATAGTGTCAGTTATTCTGTATTTAATGTAGATAAAAGGATAGTTCATGGTTGCCACATTTTATAAGTGGTGACCCAACTATCCTTCAGCTGCTGAAATACTCAATCTTTATTTTTGCATCCACTGCTTTGAAAATAAAAGCATCATACGAATGCTAATATTGAGGAAATAGTGCACTTTTGCAGTACTTATGAAGAAG